TTAAATAAATCTTATTCTGGACAATATGTAGGATCATATATTCTATTAGTAATCAAACTAGCTTTAAATCCTTCAATAGTTGATTTAGGATTATATATAGATTAAGATGGAATCATTCCATACCATTTTGGAAATTTAATTGGTTAAACCTTTATTTCATCAATTAAATCTTAAAATACATTATTTTAATTCACAATTCTTAATCTTTCTTATAAATCAAGTAAAGTTTATTTTAATTTTAATTTATTTAAATTATCATTCTTATTTAAATAATTAAGTGCTCTTTTCTTTAAATATTACCATTAAGCATTAAAAATTGTTTATGAAGTCAATTCTTTACTATTTTCTTCTACTTAAACACTTTCCAATCTATCTTTAATTTTGTTAAATAAAATGATATCAGAATTTTCAAGATTAAATGCTAATTACAACTTCTATTTGAATTATTCTTTATCTTTACCTAAGAAATCATATAAAGTCATATATGGTTATGAACCAACTCTTAATTATGCATAACCATTAATTTCATTATTTACACTTAAATCATAAATCTCAATTAATTATACTGATTTAGGTAAAGTATCTTTAATAGCCTTATATAATTCACTATGATTTATATCCTTTTCTTCATAAATTAATTTCTATCCTGAATGTTTTTCTAATACATCAATTCTTATTTATTATTTTTCATTCAAATCTCTAATTGTATTTAAATTCTTAACTCTAAATTTTAATTCTTCAATGAATGCTTCATAATTTTGATTTTACAATGCTAAATATGTAGCATAAGCAATTAATTCATCTAAAGAGAGAATAGTTAAATTATCAGGCAATGGGAATTTTCTATCTGTTTTATTCAATTATAAATGAAGATGCAATGAATCTAAGGAATTAAGAAGTTCTTCATCAGTAACTTAAGCTAAATATTCTCTACTTTCAGTATTGAGACCAGCATTAGCAAAGGCTTTAGCTAATTTATATTTATCTGAGTGAACTAATAAAGGTTATGCATTCTTTAATCTTTATGCAATTTCATGTCCTTTATATTCAGAAACAGCTACCATTAAATCTCCAAAATCAGATAATTTTGGTTCAATTGGTTTAACTTAATCTCTGTGAATTAATTACATTTCTAATATACAAATTAAAAATGCCATAAGATCTGGGTCTTTTCCTGAAATATATGAAAGTGCTGTTTCTAATGATAATGAAACATCTTCATTTTCAATTTCAGCAGGATGTAATAATCCTTAAGATACTAAAGCTTCTTCAAATTCCATCATTTTAATATTAGTATTAACATGAACCCAATCATTTTTTTAGATTTCAAGTAATTTTAAATAAACTCTTCTAATTTCTACAATTGCTTCTAAAACATTGAATACATCAGATTATGTTTATTCAATTAATTTTTCAACTTCATAAATTAGATTATTAACAGGTATTTCTTATTTTTCTTCAAAGATTTCTAATAAGAATGCTTCAATTAATTATTTTTCATCAGGATTTAATTCTTTAGCATCTAATTATTAAAATACTTTATCAACTATCTAATCACTATATAAATCAACTCCTGTAAGAGATAATCCATGAATTGCTTCAGCTAATACTCTATAATCATTCAATTTTAATAAATCTTTGATTAGGACATCAAAACCCATAGATGTTTCTATTTATTTATGATCAAAATAGGTTCTATCTCCTCTTGCTTTTAAAGCATGTCCTAATTAAACAAATGTTTATCCAACAATTTCTTCATTTGAGTATTCTCTTTTCTACAGGAAAGCAGCTAAAATAGTTTTAGCAGGCACATTAGATGTAAAGAAAGCATGATTTTACATTTTGAAGGCAGCTTAAGTATTTTGATCAATTTATTTTTGTAATTAGATTGCTAATAAATATAGATGAATTGTTAATACCTTTATTTAAAGCCTTCTTAAATTATTCAAGTTATGACTTGAATATTTATTTACATTTGAGATATTCATACTCTTCACTAATTCTAAAGAGAGATCTCTATATATATTTAATCATAATTAAAAGATTTTAATATTTTTATATTCATTTATTCTTCTTAGTCAATGTCACTGTCATTAAATGTTGTTTAGATTAAATAACAATTTATCTATTTCATATTCCATTCTTATTAAGCCATACTCAATTTCTTTTGAATAGCATTTAAAATGACATAATATAATAAAGACTCAATGAATTCTACATCAATTATTCGTAATTGATTAAGTGTTATAATTTTTAATAATGTTTTGTTTATAAATATGATCTTCAAAAGAAGGTTTGAAATAATAAAAAATTCTATTTGTAAATCTACTTATATTGCTAAAATAGTCTATGATAATGAGAATATATTTGATGTATCAATAATCAATATCCTTAAGTATAATTCTTGCTATTTACTATTATCAATATAATCAATTGATAGTTATAATTATCTAGCCATTTTTAATGACAATCTTATCCATATATGCTATTTCAATTAATATTTGATATTATTAATATATAGTATTCTGTTTACTTGTTATAATATGTTGTCAATCCTCTTCTATTTTCAATCCTTCTTCTATTAACTTCTCATAATAAATATATATATTATATTAATTATTCTTCTTTTTGTATCCTCATTATTCTTAGGAATATTAATAATATATAATTTATGAATCAAATATATCAATGTTAAACTCACAAAGAAATATTAGTTGGATATAATATAGAAAATTCTGATATTGTAAGACCAATATGTTCCCGTTGTATTCCTTCTCTTAGTAAGGGATACTTTGGTGAATAAAGATATCTTAATTTCGAATAAGCTACATAATTACTTGATTAATTAAAATAAGCTGGATTAACACAATATAAATCAGAAATCCTTGATCAATTTCAACAGACTATTAATTAGTTATATACTCAATTAAAATTGCTTTATAATCAAATTTCTGTTGTTTTTGATTTGATTATTCAATCAGATCCATAATAAGAAGTATTGGATTCTAAAGATCCTAAATAAATAGCTTAAGTATTACATGAGAATTGTTAATATGATATTCATTAATAAAAATATAAGATTAAGTCTTAAAATGCGATTCATATTAGATTCAATAAAATAATTTCAAAGTCTTAACATCATATGAATGAATGTTTTGAAAGTATCAATTAATAACTGAATTCACTTAAGAAAGAAGAAATAGAATTATCTTAATAGACTAATAATCATAAAAATAATTATAAAAGTTATAAGGAATTATTTAAATTGAATACAAAGGTATAATAAGTTAAATCTCTTGCATATCATGATAAATATAAATAGTTATTTTGTATTGATTAAGATATCAAAATGTTGTAATTTGATCTTAAAACAAAATAATTAATATAAGAATATTCTGCTCATTCTGATAAAATTTCAGCTATTTTAATTGTAAATGATACATTAATATCAACTGCTATAGATAAATCTTTAATTATATGGAATATTATTATTGGTGGAAAAGCAGAAGTTAAAAAATAAATTACTATCAAATCTACAATTCTTTAATTAATAAAATATAAAAATTCATTTGCCTCAATTAATAGTGATAAGGTATTAGCATTTTGGAATGATACTACATGTGTAAGTGAACTAAAAAATAAAGTTGAAATTACAAGTATAGATTGTAATTAGGATTATAGTTAAATTGCAATAGGATAAATTGATGGAATTATTAGAATTAGAAAAGAAAAATTTAATATAAAAATAGAAAGTCATTTCGATTGTGTTAAGGCACTTAAATTTATAAATGAATCATATTTAGTATCAGGAGGATATGATAAATAAATTAAAATATGGATGGAATTAAAAAATGGAGATTATAGTTGTATTTAAACAATTTACGATCATAATTCATATATAAATTTTATAGAATAAGTAGGAGGATATCTTATATCTTCAGATGATGATAAAATTATTAAAATATGGTAATAAGATAGATAATGGAAAGAAGTATCTTAGATAGGTCGTTATCCTTTAGTTACAGCTATGCATGTTTATTAACGTATTTGTTTTTTGGGATTTGATGATTCTTCAATTCAAGTACTTTAATTTAATTGATTATTTAATTATTATTATCTATCTTTAATTCATCTTATATTATTATTAGATATTTAATAATTGATTATGTTTACATTAATATTAAGTATAATTAAAGTGATTTAATTAAATATTAATTTTTTTATAAAATAAATGAATTCATCAGCAATCTTAAGAGATTTAATTGTAGATCCAACTAATATAGATTAAAATTTATTATGTTTGATATGTTAAGAATTAGTTATTGATCCTAAGGAATGCAGTTAATGTCAAAATCTATTTTGTTCAGATTGTATAACATCTTGGTTATAATAAAAAAGTAATAAACATATTGAATTATATAGAAAAATGTCCATATAATTGTAGCGATGAAATATAATTAAAGAATCCTCATAGAATAGTTAAAAATTCTATTTCTTAAATAGAAGTAAAGTGTTTAAATAAAGGGTGTGATAAATAAATGTAAATTTAAAGTTTAGATTCTCATTTACTATAATGTGAGTATGTAGAAACAAAATGTCCTTTTCCTGAATGTGATTTTAAAGATAGTTTAAAATAAATTAAAATTCATTAATTAAATTGTGAACATAGAACAAAAAATTGTGAGAAATGTGAAGGAACTTATAAAATCAATTAAGAACATGATTGTTTAATCCATTTACTAAAGAAATTGAAATTATAAGAAGAGAATTAATTAGCCTATTAAAAAAAAACAGATTAAATTATAATGGATTTAGTAGAAAGATTAAATTAATTAGAAAATTTATAAAAAGGATCCAATAAACCAAAATGTTATTAGGGTCATGTATTAAATTGGATTTATCCTAAAAAAGGAATTTAATGTGAATAATGTAAATAAGCAAATGATAATGTGAGATATATTTGTGAACCTTGTAGAATAGGATATTGTTAAAGATGTAAATAACCAGAATTTAAAGGGAATGTTTGTCCTTCTAATCATGTATTATAATTTTCTTAAAAAGTAAGTAATAATTCTATATAATTTTAGCCTGGATTTGGTCTGAGATGTGATTTTTGTAGACTTAATATCTATTCAAAAGGTGACTCTGTTTACAGTGACAGATCCTGTGATTTTGATATTTGTAATACTTGCTTTTAGAAGTTAAAAGTAATGAAATGAGTTAAAGAAATTAGTAATAAAAATAACATAATTCTATCAAAATTATTTTATATTATAAATGATAGCTTCTTACAATTAATCAGAATGGACATAATTCTTTAAGTAAAATCCATTAATCTATTTTATTAGTACAAATAAAGAGGATAAAATGTAGCAAAACATTACAGATATTAACATTTACTTTGAAGATGTTAATCCATTAAAAATTTACTTTTCCAACATTAATAAACACCCTAAGTTAAAAATCAGTTAAGATGGTTAAATAGTAATAGATTCTTCATTGGGTTCTAAAAAATTCATTGCATGTGATCCTGTTATTCCATCTAAAGGAATTTATTAATTTACATTTTTGATAAATCAACTTGGAGCTGTTTATATTGGTATTTGTATACTAGATAAAATTAATATTGAGAAATATTATTTGGATATTTGGAGTAAAATTAATCATGGGTAAATAATTTAATTAAATCAATTAGGACTTATTTGTTATGTAATGATGGCTTTGTTTTTTCCAATCATTCTTAGTAAGTAAACAAAGTGGAAACTCATTTAAAATTTTAATAGAATGATAAAATTACAGTAGAAGTTAATCAAGAAGCAAAAACTATAACTTGGAAAAAATTAGGAACTAATGAATTTTTTGTATTAAATATCTAATAATATGAATAGACTATGTAGATATAAAATGATTAGAACTTGTATCCATGTTTGATAATAGAGTCTTCGTAAATGACTATTTTAAATTGAAATTCATTTATCTTTATTAAAATAAAGACAAAAATATTTTAATTAAAATAAAGTTTATAAAATAAGAAATTAAATCAAAGTTAATATTTTCTTAATTATATTTGAAGATCTTGAATTTATTTCTAATAATTCATTTGCATTCTTTTCATTTATTCTTATAACTAAGAAATTTGTTATTAGTATAATTTTATGGTTCTATTTAAATTCACTAACTAATCTTGTTTATTATTAAATTTACACTTCGAGCTTCTTCTTATTCAAAATCACTCGTTTATTATTCTCTTGTAATTTATATTTTGACTTCTTTTTCTTTTTCTAAATTCTCTAATCTTTACCCCATCTTTTCAAATTTCTTTTAGTAATGATGATCAAGCAATGTAATTTTTGAATCTCCTAATTATTTTTATTATCTATCAACTGTATTCTCAATATGTGAAGGTCTGCCACTAAAAAGCAATTTTTCATATTGTTAATCTCTTATGACACAATTCGATACTTTTCTCTCAATTGAATCAAGTAATTAATGAGTTTGTTACATATTTTTTAGAATGAACTTTAATAAAATAATAATTAATTTTAATTTTTTAATTATATTATTAATTAAAAAAATATATATTACTCATTTTTTTATTCCAGATTTTTCTTTCCTTTTTTATCTTTAGCTAGATTGTTGATTTTATCAGATAATATATCTTTTTTATCCTTTTTTGCAGTTCCTTTATCACCTATTTCTTTTTTACATAATCAATATTAGTTCTCTTTTTTCTAATAGATGCCATCATCTCTACAATTTTTAAATTGATTATTCCGTACCAATTCATCTATTATTTATCTTATTTATTTTTTAAGTCATTTTGTATTTATTAATAATACTTCTTCTAGTTAAATTGTATGATATAATTCATTAAAAAATAATAATTCATTTATTTACTATAAGCAAGTTTTGTATATTATTCATCTAGAAATAATAAGGTAAAGATAATTGAGTATCTTCTATGAATTTCTTTCACCAAAAATCACTTTATGTAAATTAATAAATATTATTTAGAATATCATAATTTACATATTTTAAAATCAATAATGTACCCTGCATGATTTGAATTATATTTAGATTGTATTTTAAAGCATCTTTTTTAATAAACGTCTTTTAAAGGATGTAACAATTAATCAAAACAAGTTTTAAGTGATTATATGCATTGATGTAAAATAATTATAATTTTCCATAATATACAAATAACTCTTAATCAGACCTTTCTAATTTTAGTTTTTGCTTGATATATTTCTCTATTAATTAATTCATTTGAATTTACAAGGCTTCCATAAATTAATTGATGGACTGTTTACGATTTAAATTAATATTGTATTAAATATATAATTATATTTCATTAAAAAATTGAGTACGGCGTTGATCCATTTGGATGTTTACAATCTGGACAAAGATGAATGATGTCTTTACAATCATCTACATAACAAGGTAGACAAGCTAGACAACAGATTCCAAAAGAACATAGAAGTAGAACACATGAAACTATAAATGTACCACTTCCAACTCTTCTGCTTAATTTAGTTTGAACCTTTTAACAATATTAATAAATATTTACTTATTTTTTGCAATTTCTGCAAATGAGTTTAACAGAATGAATTTATCCATCTCCATTTTCCAGTAGGGAGTTGACTAATTTAATTTCTCTTAGACTTGAAATCTAAGGAGATATATTTATAATTGGAATCATCATCTAAGGTGTTTGATCATCAATTTTATTGTTATGTTAATCTTAAGTTTGTATGTATATATTAGCATTTCTTTCAAGATGATGTAATATTTCATCTCCTAGACTTTTGGAGAGTTCTTGGTTAGCCATAAATTAATATTTGGAATTGTTAAATGAATAAATATAAAGGATTGTTCTAAGATACACAAAATAATTAAATAAACAGTTTAAATATAAATATTTTTTTGATAATTAATTCTTTTAGGAGTCGAAATAAATGAGAAATGCGCCTTAAGGTTATATAACAAATCCTATCTATATTAATAATTTAGAACTAAAACTAGTTTTATTATTTATTTAATTTCTATAAAATAAATACACAAATGTCGACTGATATAAGTAATTCACCAAAACCAAAAACCTAATCTATGTCTTGTTCCAAATCAGAAATTGTGTCGAATTTTACAGAAGTAATTTATAGAGGTCCAAAAAGTGAAATAATACAATCAAAAAATATTTAAGATGTAGACCAAAATGATATCTAATTGAATAAAACGTAGTCTGGAAACTATTTAAATATAATAATAATAGGCTTAGTTATTTTAGGTTTAATTGCTGGTTTGGTGATAGGATATAAAATAATTAAATAAGGAAATGTTTAAGATGAGGAATAAATGAATGTGTTTGTTAATATAGTCTCGAAATCATTACTAAATAATCTTGAATAACATAAATTTCTAATTATTGATGAATAATTTAAATAATTGAAAAAGTTTTATGAAAAATAATTAACTAATATTCTATGGCAGAAGGTAAATATATATATATATAATGTAAAAAATAGATTGTGAATCATATTTAATAATAACCTAATGTAATACTTAGTTAAGATAAGAAAAAATGGATATTAAAAGAGTGAAAACATTATTATTTTATTATTGACATTTCACAAATCAAGGAATGATTTAACTTTCTTAATTGTAGCTTCATCTTAGATTTCCCAATTTCCAGTCATAGGATCAATTTTTATTCTTGTTTCTTTACAATAATATGCTGCAGGTACTAATTTTATTACTTAATGTAATGGAATATTTAATTTTGGTATTTCTGGTACTTCATGTTCATGAAAATATGCATATAAACATCTTAATATTGCTTAATGTGCAATAACAATAACAGGTAATCTTGATCTTTCAATCTCAAATATTATTTATTCTACTCTACTAATTACATCAAGATATGATTCTCCTCTTGGATATCTATAAGTTAATTTATTCATTTTGCGTTCTTCATAATCTTAAGGAAATTTATCAGCAATCTATTAATATGTTAATCCATCACAAATTCCTGGATTTATTTCATCCAATGCTTTTAATGAATAATATTCCACTCCCAATAATTCACAAACTTCATTACTTGTATGTAATGCTCTTTACATAGTGGAAGT